GGAATGCCCTACTCCAGGAGGATGTCTGTGGAGCAGTGGTGTGTCCTCTGGTGGCACAGCTTGGGGGATGAAGCATTCTGGCTCATCTTCTGACCCAGAACATGGTCCACACCTTCACACTGAAGGTTCTTCAGTGTTGGGTGTTTTTGTGTGAACTGAGGAGTTCAGGGGGTGCATTTTTGGCTTGCATAGGGAGCACAAATGTGCTGCTCACTTAAAGCAGGTCTGTGGAGCAGTGGTGTGTCCTCTGGTGGCACAGCTTGGGGGATGAAGCATTCTGGCTCATCTTCTGACCCAGAACATGGTCCACACCTTCACACTGAAGGTTCTTCAGTGTTGGGTGTTTTTGTGTGAACTGAGGAGTTCAGGGGGTGCATTTTTGGCTTGCATAGGGAGCACAAATGTGCTGCTCACTTAAAGCAGGGTCTCCTGTTACGAAGCTTTTCCTCTTTGTGAGGTGGGATAGTCTCTCCTGGTGTATCTCTAGTTGTTCAGGTGGTAGTAACTGGATTTCTTGCATGTTTTTGGGACTCTGATTTGAGGAGTCTCAAGACTCTGCACAATGCCTAGAAAATGCTGTTTCCTCTCTGCATGAAGCCTGTGGGCAGACAGGCGAGTCTTTTGAAACATACAGGGAAGTATCACACAGGAGAATGTACAGCCATTCCCACTGGGATGGACTTCATTCTCCTGGTGGTCTTGGCTTTGGGTTGCAGTATGTCTTCAGAAGTTCTCACCATGTGCAGAGGAATCTGTACTTCTTACTTACAACTTTAAAGCAATCTGTAAGCAATCAAGGTATTTGGGTCTCACAGTTATTGGGCCTGTATCTTGTTGATGCCTCTGGACTTACTGTGCTAGCTCTTATTTCTTGTAGTAGCCCATGAACAGGAAAGCTCACGAGAGACTTCCTGGACTTGGATTTGTAAAACTCCCCTCATGGGACTTGGTGAAATAGAGCACAAAGCCACTGCTGGCACTTTGGGAATTGTTAGAAGGCTCAAAAGAACCACTGTGACTACATTTCATGTTAGCCAAAGTGGTTTGGAGAGAGACCTTCAGGAATCCAGGCTTGGTGTCTCTATTTTCACTTGGTTTGTAAACTCTTAGTACCTTGTCAAGGATAAGTCTGATAAGACACTTCCAGTTCTTTGGCCAGAATAGGCTATGGGATTGATGGTGGATCTACAAGTGCCAAGTCTGTCTTTGGGGCTGAGTACTCTCAAGGGTCTCCACTTTCCAAAGCACAGTCAGCACTAAAACTACCAACCTGAGCAGAACAAAAAGGTGTGGAAGGAGGATGTATCCTGCTGGGAGCCAACAATGTATGACAAACTGGTTTTTCTGCCCTTCCAGTGTTTTGTCAGTGAGGGACAAGAGTAATTTCCTCTGAGAAGTCCTGTAGCTGCTTGGCTGTGCCACAGGGCTGCAGATCCATGCAGCAGGGTGCTCCAGGAATACTCTGTCCCCTTGGCTCTGGACCAAAACGTGCTCTAGTGGTCTGTACAGCAGAGAAAGTCCTTCTTCCCTGGTGGTTGCTTCTTGACTTTAAAGCGGTGTCAGTACTGATCTCCAAGTCTATGGGCTGCTGTAGCCAGTCTGGAGTGACACCCAAGCAAAGGAAAGAGCAGCTTTTATCCTACCTTCTTGGACAAGGTGGAATTCTTGAAATGTGACACACACAAGGTGTTCTGATTACCAGGCAGTGAAACAAGCCTGTCCCTGTACTCTGATCCTCTGGCTTTGTTTTCCTTTGTGCTATGAATGGCTAGAAATCCTGGAACGCAGTTCCCTTAATTTGGGGTGAAACAATCAGAGTAAGTGAATTGCTTAGCTTCTGAAAAGTATTATTTTGCTTAGCTTCAGATATCTCGTATATAGTGAAATATTTAGGGTGATACAACATTAGGAAAAATATTACTCACAGCGTGGTAAATGATGGTTCAAGCACCTCTTCAACACAACTGCAGTGGTTTTACTCAGCCAGTAGCTATCAAAGCTGTACTGATTTTAAACAAAACATAGATAGAAAATTTTATTTTAATGGTACTTCTCTTTTTAATACTACAAAGAACCCAACTTACCCATCCTAGAAAAATAACTCATTCTGGGGTTAATAACACTATGAGGATGTGGAATTACTTACATTTTAATTTACAAGTGAGAGTTAATCAAGGAAGTTGCTCACTGACAACAAACTGATCTGTTTAATGTTTTCTTTAAGGAAACACATCAGTAAAACACTGCATGTAGAAAAAGAAATGTTTATGTAGTTATAAACCTGTTGATTGTACTGATATATCAGCCATGTACTTCAGTATGTATAAGGTTTGTGGTTGCATAGAGCTCTGTCAGCCAGAGATCCTTGTCAGGGCCATCGACATAGATTTTATGCTGTCTGGTCAATGTGTCTGTGACTGCTCTAGAAGCTGAGGAGTGAATCATGGTAGTTTGAATTCAATAAATATTCCCAGTAAACCCTAACTCAAAATGTCTTGTTCTTTGTTCAGAGCTGCAGTGAGGGAGGCAGAAGTGAAGACACTATAGAGTACAAAAAAACAGGTCTTTTCTTCAGTATCTACTTTTCTTCAGTAACTACTCGTCCCATGATGTCCCTGGGATTAGGAGGTCAATTAGGTCTGCCAGAGCTTGGCCTCAGTTTCCAAAGACAGATACTTTGAGCCTGTGTACACCTGGCTGTGACTACAGCCTTGGCCTTGAGCAGGTACTGAGACCCCACAAGTCAACAAGCTTATTCCTCATACAAGGTCTATTTTCTTCCTTGCTAACAACATTCCTTCTTGATGGAGCTTCGAGATCACTTTTTCACAGCAAAAGGAACATCTTGCTTGGACTCCAAATTGTACTCTCAGAGAACATATGTGAAAATGCTTATCAGGTTGCTCCCTATTTTAATAAAATTGTACTTGGCAGTTTAGCAGACTGTATGTCTATACCCAGTTCCAGCTCCCTCCTATTTCTTCCCCACTTCCCAGTTCCCTCCCAACCGAGTGGCTGTTACTGCTCAAAGAATCAGTGTCAGTTAAAAACGTGCCATAAACGTGTGTGGTCATTGTCTGAGCCCTATTCAAAGTTCATGGCATTTAGCCCTTCATTGGCAGCTATTGTGTTCCATTAAAAAATTCAAGACATCAATGTGTGAATCTTGTTCAGCCAAGTAGAACTGTGAAAAAAAGCCCTGGCTCCGTTTCTGTTAACACCACATGACACCAAAACATCTCTGAAAATTCTTACCTGAAATTGCTCGGTACAGATAAGATATTTGTAGGACTCTTTCTGCCCCTTAGATTAAGGACTGTGCAGCATCACAAGCTGTTTTAAGATCCCTAATCACTGACAACAGAGGTGAGAAAGAACAATCTGGACACTTCACCTTACTGCTGAAGCCTGGGGACTTAAACCATACTAACCACACCTGTTCTAAAGCCACATCCACAGCTTCTCCCCAGGGATGGAGAAGGGTGAACCAGGAGTGGGGAAGCAGCTGCAGACACCTCTGCAGGTCACTCAGCTGTGGTAATTTGACCTCAGAGTGGCATTACCACACTGGCCAGAACTTTTCCACGTACTGAGGTTTGAAACTCTTGGACTTTGCAGGAAGGATCTCAGGCAGAAGCACAGCCACAGTGCTAAACCCAACTTTGTTCTCCAAATGCCTAAGCTCACCCTGCTGCACTCATCCTCATCCCCGGGCTGTTACACAGCTGAAGACTCACATTTGCTTTCATGCACAGTGAGGAATGGGAAAAACTGAGCTTAAATACTTTAATCCACACAATTAAATCTACAGAGAAATACAGTACAAATAACAAGACAACAGAAAGATGCATTAGGAAATTCATGTTTGTTGTGGAAAAACATACTTACAAGCTACTAGGAAGAACATGGAGCAGATGTTTCTCAGCAGAGCTGTCTGGGAGCCAAGCCAGGCCATGGTCCCATCCACTGGTTTTCAGCTCCCTGGTGGAAATGTGGAGAAACTCCACAGCACAGGACACTTCTGGAGCTTCTGGAGCTGCACTTGACAGAAAACCTGACCCAAGCACTCAACCACCACACATCACATCAAGGATTGCAGCAGACATCTCTGTGAGCCAGAATCACCCTCACTGTGCCTCCACAGCAAATAAACAACAGAATTCCCAGCTCTGATGACAAAGACTTTTACAATACCTCCTTAAACTCCCATTCCAGCCTGCCCTCTTTAAAAACAAAAGGAAAACCAGTTTGAGATTTGAAAATATCCCTTGATGTCAAGAAAAAAAATCAGGAAATTTTGATTTAAACATTTATTTTGGAGGTTCCAGATTATGCTGCCTGATTCTTCCTTCACAAGTGAGCCCTCATATGCTGTGCAGCTCTGAGCA